GGGAAGGAGAAATTATCCATGGAAGTGTGAGTGTGGGGCTCCAGGGAGCATTTCTCCTGCCCTGGAGAAGTAAAGCAGGTGCTGGGAAGGTGTGGTTGTGCCAGGGAGGGGAGAGAGGGAGATGTCATCACCTTTTCCTGGCAGGGACACCCTTGTTATGTTCCGCTCGGGCTCTGTCTGCCGGCAAGGCCCTGCAGCCATTCCCAGTGCCATGGTGAGGAACGTGGACGACTTTGACTTCTGCCTGCCTTCGCACGCCCAGAGTGTGCTGGAGGGGCTGCAGCAGCTGCGCACCAACCCCAAACTGGCGGATGTGATGCTGGTGGCGGGCAGACGGGAATTCCCCTGCCACCGTGGTGTCCTGGCACTCTGCAGCCACTACTTCCATGCCATGTTCTCCGGAGACTTCACCGAGAGCATTGCAGCACGGGTGGAGCTGAAGGAGGTAGACCCCAGCGCACTGGAGATCCTGCTCGACTTCGCCTACACAGGGAAGGTCACCATCAACCAGGGCAATGTGGAGGGGCTGATGCGGACCTCCAGCCAGCTCCACTTCCCCACTATCCAGAAGGTTTGCAGCCGCTACCTCCGGCAGCAGATGGATGCCACCAACTGTCTAGGTATCTGCGAGTTCGGTGAGAGCCATGGCTGCCCTGAGGTCTCCTCCAAGGCCTGGTCTTTCTTGCAGGAGAATTTTGAAGCCGTCTCTCAGCAGGAGGAGTTCCTCCAGCTCTCCAAGGAGAGGTTGGCCATCTACCTCTCCAACGACCAGCTGCAGGTGCAGGAGGAGCAGAGCCTGGCCGAGGCTGTGCTGCGCTGGGTACGCCACAACCCAGGGCCACGAGCCCAGTTCCTGCCTGAGCTACTGGAGTTGGCCCGCCTTGTCTCACTGCCTGACCAGTACCTGCAGAACCTGCTTGCCACTGAGCCCCTCATCCGTGACTCGGATGCCAGCAAGGCTCTTGTTACCCGATCCTGTGCCATGGTGGGTCCCCCCTGCCCCAAATCCCACCCCGCAAGAGAGCGGGGAGACTCAACTTGGAGCCTGACGGCCCTGCCCCGGCTTCTCCATCAGGGGCAGAGTGATGCCGGTGCCCAGAAGAACCCCCCGACCCCACCGCAGAAGCTGGAGGAGGAGATGGAGGTGG